GGAGCCCGGGGCGCGCACTCGGGCCGGCCCGGGCCCCAGCATGGCCGAGCCGCTGCTCAGGAAAACCTTCTCCCGCCTGCGGGGCCGAGAGAAACTTCCCCGGAAAAAGTCGGACACGAAGGAGCGCGGTGAGCCGGGGAGCTGGCGGAGGAGGGGGACGCCGAACCCCTCCTGACCTGGGAGGGGGTCCCGGGGCCCCAAGGAGGGACAGCTGGGGGGACAGGGGAAGTCCCGCGGAGCCCCCTGCGGGCCGGGGAGGGGGGCCGGGGGCGGGCAGGGGTCCTGGAAGGAACAGGCTGGGGGCAAAGGGGGCGCAGACCGTTATGTGCGCCTGGCCCGGGATGCCAGCGCTGCGGGCTCCTTGGGAGGCCCGGGAGGGGGCCTCGCCCTTGACAGGAAATGGGGCCGAGACGGAGCGCCTGGAGGGAGGGGAGGAGGAGCCGGGAGGCCGGGAAACTGGGGCCCAGTCAAGCTAGGCAGGGGACACCCTGACCCCTGGAGACCCAGGTTGGGAGATGCGGGGCGTCCTCCTGCAGAGGAGGGAGTGAGGCGGTGTGTCAATCATAGCAGTTACCCCCATTTCCCCTCCCACCTATGAACCAGTGACGGCAGCTGCGTCCGCGTTAGGCAACCCCAGGAAACTGTCCCTTTTATACAGATGGGGAAACTGAGGCACAGGGGCAGTGGGTAATTTGCCCAGGGCCAGTGAACTGACTTAAACAGCTCTTTGGACTATGCTGCTAACAGAGACCCCCGAGACAGGGTCCTGGGGGGTGGAAATCCGAGGTGACCAGAGGAGGGAGTCAGCCAGCAAACAAGACAAGACCTAAAAAAAATGGGAGCTGCATGGGACAGCAAGTCCGGAGAAGAAAGGAGTTAAAGGAGGGAAGCCAGACGACTCCATGGATCTGACCTCTCCCCAGCCCTTCCCAAATATTCCCAAGGTTCCCAGAATAGAGAGAAGGGACAGGGTGCCCACGCACAAACACACACAGGAAACAGCCCGGGATGTCAGACTGGGGAGGAAGGAGCAAGGGCGAGGCCACAAGGTGTTGACCGCGAAGGTCTGGCCTGGGCTAAGACAGGGCCCACTCCAGGATGGGGACAGGGTTTGGAAGACAGGCATGGGGGGTGTGGGTGACGTGCTGCAGGTAAGGGAGAACCCGGTGCTCGCTGTCACACCTGGTCCTGTCTCCCGAGCAAGCAAGCCAACGGCCACTGTAGGCTGTATGCTTGACCATGACCCGGGGGACTGGGAAGCGCCGCCCATGCCCAGCTCCCTGAAGCCCCTCTGGAGGGGGTCATCAAATCCCCCCATTTCACAAGAGGACACTGAGGCTCAGAGATGGGAAGCAACTTGCCCAAAGACACCAAGTGAGAAGGCACAGGGGCAGGGGCTCCATGCTGGGGTTAATGAGGGAGTGCGGAACGCAGGGCCCAGGCCTGGAGAAACCCCACTGGACCCCTGAGGCTGGAGGGCAGAGAGACAGTCCCATTTGGGAGCCAGGGACTGAGAGGGGGTGGGCTCTGAGCTGGCAGCCAATGAGATTGCTGGCCTGAGGCCGCCCTTTCCAAACAAGCAGGTGGAGTGAGAGCCGGTGCTGAAAGCACCCCAGCCCCAGCCCCTGCAGGCAAGAGCCCTGGGCTGGGGCTGCTCTGGGGGCGGCCAGGGGGTAGGGGGCACTGGGTCTCACTCCCCTTGTTCTCTGCCAGGCCGGCCAGCCCAGCGCCCAGAGCCCAGCCCTCCAGAGTCAGAGCTCCAGGCCCCCGAGGGGTCCCAGGCTGGAGCAGAAGGGCCCCCAAGCCCTGAGGCCTCTCCAAGCCCGGCTCGGGGGGCCTACCTGCAGAGCCTGGAGCCCAGCAGCCGCCGATGGGTGCTGGGCGGGGCCAAGCCACCTGAGGAGGCTGCTTTGGGGCCCGGAGCACCTGGCAGCGGGGAGCCTGCTGGCGAGATCTGGTACAACCCTATCCCTGAGGAAGACCCCAGGCCCCCCGCACCTGAGCCCCTGGGGCCACAGCCAGGCTCAGCTGAGCCAGAGGGCCCGGCCTCCCAAGGTGAGCACAAGCCTCACACCCCTGGCCCCCAAGATGACCACAAGACTCACCCCTGTCCCAGGCCCAGGTCTCTGAACCCTGAGGTCTGCTGTTCCCACAGGCGCAGCCCCCACGAGCCCCCCAACGAAAGCCTCTCGCACCAAGTCCCCCGGCCCAGCCAGGCGCCTCTCCATGAAGATGAAGAAGCTGCCGGAGCTGCGGCGCCGCCTCAGCCTGCGGGGCCCCCGGGCTGGCCGAGAGCGCGAGAGGCCCGCCCCCGCGGGCTCCGTCATCAGCCGTTACCACCTGGACAGCAGCGTGGGAAGACCCGGGCGGGCGGCGGTGGCTGGGGGCGCGCGGGGCCTGCGGGCTGGGTACCTCAGTGACGGCGACTCACCGGAGCGGCCCGCGGGGCCCCCGTCGCCCACTGCCTTCCGTCCCTATGAGGTGGGCCCATCCGCCCGGGCGCCCCCCGCCGCACTCTGGGGCCGCCTCAGCCTGCACCTGTATGGCCTGGGGGGACTGCGGCCAGCGCCCGGGGCAACCCCCAGAGACCTCTGCTGCCTGCTGCAGGTGGATGGGGTGGCCCGGGCCCGAACAGGGCCACTGCGTGGGGGGCCAGACTTCCTGCGGCTGGACCACACCTTCCACCTGGAACTCGAGGCTGCCCAGCTGCTGCGGGCCCTGGTGCTGGCGTGGGACCCAGGCGTGCGGCGGCACCGGCCCTGTGCCCAGGGCACCGTGCTGCTGCCCACGGTCTTCCGAGGTAGGAGGCATGACTGCAGGGGAGAAATGGTAGGCCACAGAATTCAGCTCAGGGCTCCCCATTTTGCCAGAGTGCCTGGGGTACTAAGCCCCGGAGTGGTGGGGGGGTGGCCCAGGGCACAGGAGCCTGTAGGGGCAGATCCCACTCAGGTCCCCTTGTGTCTTCAGGATGCCAGGCCCAGCAGCTGGCCGTGCGCCTGGAGCCCCAGGGGCTGCTGTATGCCAAGCTGACCCTGTCAGAGCAGCAAGAAACACCGGGCACAGCTGAGCCCCGAGTCTTCGGGCTCCCCCTGCCGCTGCTGGTGGAGCGGGAGCGGTCCCCAGGCCAAGTGCCCCTCATCATCCAGAAGTGTGTTGGGCAGATCGAGCGCCGAGGACTGCGGGTGAGCCCCTCACCCCATCCCAGCTGGCCCCCAGACCTCAGACCCACTCCCCAAGACACCCAGCGTACAGAGGCCAGACCTTCCCCCTCACCCCACCTGGGACATTCCTAGCTCCAATCCCAACCCAGACAAGGGCAGGAGGCCTCCCTAGACTGTAGCACCCAGCTCAGAACCCATGGGTCATCCATCCATTTAATAACACAGGATCCCAGTCCTTCTGGAGCTCAGAGTCTGATGGGGGGGAAGACATGACTCCAGTAACTCACAGATGTAAAACTGTGGCTGAGACAAGAGTGAAGAAGCTGGGAGAGCTTAAAGCAGGACCTGACCTGCTGATTGGGGTAGTCAGAGAAAGCATCCCAGAGGAGGTGACAAGTGAGCTGAGGAGGAGTCAGAGTCTCCTGAGTTAAAAGAGGTGGGTGCCAGAACCAGTGATCCCTGCAGAGGTGACAGGGCCAAGTCATCCAGGCAGCCAGGCTGGGCTGAGGAGGCATCCAGAGAACAAGAAGGCAGCCAGTGAGGCTACAGCCAGCCCCTGACCTCTCAGCCCCTGCCACCCTGGCCCAGACCTCCAGCTCCCGCCCCACTGGGCCCAGACCAGTCTGTGGCCGTGGCAAGAAGGCACCCCTCCCTGCGCCCACACCCAGGTCGTGGGGCTGTACCGTCTGTGCGGCTCGGCGGCCATGAAGAAAGCGCTGCGTGATGCCTTTGAGCGAGACAGTGCGGCTGTCTGCCTCTCTGAGGACCTGTACCCCGACATCAACGTTATCACTGGTCAGCTGCCCTGCCTTCCCCCACCTGCTCCCACACCCTCACCTCAGGGCAGTGCCTGTGCTCCCTCTGGGACATCACCCCTTCTGTCTGGCTTTGTTTTCACTTTCCTGCACCTGTCCTGCTCCTTGTCCCCCCTCCCAGCCCCAGCTGACCCCTCCAGCCTCAGAAGCCAGGGGTGCTCTGACCAGAGTGGGCCCTGTGTCCGTAGGCATCCTCAAGGATTATCTTCGGGAGCTTCCCACTCCTCTCATCACCCAGCCCCTCTACCAGGTGGTACTGGAGGCCATGGCCCGCAGGCCTCCCTGCAGGGCTCCCCCCAGCACTGGGGACACCCGTGGGCTCCTCAGCTGCCTGCCAGATGTGGAAAGGGTGAGTTTGGCCCGGCGGGAGTGGGTGGGACAGGGAATGGGCTGACATCAGTAGAGCGCTTCACCCATGCCTGGGCTGGCAATAACCATGAGATTGTGGCATCGTCACAACCCTAGAAAGTAGATGCCATTAGTATCCTCACTTCATAGATATGGAAACTAAAGTGCAGAGCAGTTGAGTGAGTTACCCAAGGTGGCACAGCCAGTATGTATCAAAAACGCAGATTCTGAACACAGGTCTATCAACCTACTACAAGGGAGGTTCCTGGCTATGGGATCCTGGACAAGCCCCAATCTTCTCTGTGCCTCAATACCCTCATCTGTAAAATGAGATTAATGCCAGCCCTGCCTAACACACAGAAGGGTGGGTTTAAGTCCAAGCTCTGCCATTCCAAAGCTAAGTTACCTTTGGCCTCAGTCTCCCCTCCAGCAAAATGGGATCCTAATACCAATACCTAATGGTTAAGTCTTAGCTCGGTCATCTCCCAGCTATGAGACCTTGAACCTCAGTTTCCCCATTCGGAGCTGCCTTAGTCTCCCTCAGATGCGACAGGGGACCGGCTTTGCCCGCCTCATGCCCTCCCAACCCTCTCCTCTCAGGCCACGCTGACGCTTCTCCTGGACCACCTGCGCCTTGTCTCCTCCTTCCACGCCCACAACCGCATGACCCCGCAGAACCTGGCCGTGTGCTTCGGTCCCGTGCTGCTGCCGGCTCGCCAGGCCCCCGCCAGGCCCCGCATCCGCAGCTCCGGCTCGGGCCTCACCAACGCAGTGGACTTCAAGCGGCACATCGAAGTGCTGCACTACCTGCTGCAGGCCTGGCCAGGTGAGCCCGCCCCCGGCCCACGCGGCCAATCCGGGCCAGGCGGCCGCGGCGATGCTTTTTCGGGCGGGCAATTAAAGTCTCGGACTTCAGGCACGCCACGCCCCCTTGCCCCAGTAAACCGTACCTGGTTGCCTCAGCAACCAGTTCAGATTCCGCCAATCCATGCTTGACGCGGTCAGAGGCCATGCCTCTTGACATGCCAATCAGAGGGCCGGTTGCCTAAGCAACCAGTTCAAGCTCAGCCAGTGAAATCCTGATCCGGTCGAAAGCCTCGCCTTTCGTCAGACCAATCAGGGACCTGATTACCTAGGCAGCCAATCAGAGGTCTGGCTGCCGCCGCCGTGCATGACGTCATCACAAGTCCTCCCTCTCCCTCCGTAGATCCCTGCAGGGCCCCGGAAGCTCCGCACCTCGCCCCGTACCTGCGGCCCAAACGGCAGCCGCCGCTGACCTTACCGCTAGCAGGCCCTGAAGTGGTGACGCGGCCCCGCAGCCGAGGCGGCCCCGAGAGCCCCCCGAGCAACCGCTACGCCGGCGACTGGAGTGTGTGCGGGCGGGACTTCCTGCCCTGCGGGCGGGACTTCCTATCCGCGCCAGACTACGACCACGTGACGGAGAGCGATAGCGAAGACGAGGACGAGGAGGGTGGCGAGCGCACGGGCCCTGACGACTTCGAAGACGACTTCGAGGCGCCCTTCAACCCGCACCTGAACCTCAAAGACTTCGACGCCCTCATCCTGGACCTGGAGCGAGAGCTCTCCAAGCAGATCAACGTGTGCCTCTGAGCGGGGCGGGCCGGGCTGCTGGTCGCTAAGGCGGTGCCCTAACGACCGAGGGAGACCAGACCTGTCGGTCAGGCCTCGCTCCTGTTGCTGGGGAGTTGCCTAGCGACCAGCCAGGCCGTTACTGAGCATCATTGCTCGTTGCCAGTGCTCAGTATTTGGTCGCTGGCTGGTTGCGAGGGCCGGGGACTGGGGATTCTCGGGACCAGCTGTTGTGGGCATCTTTTCTGAGTACCAAGGGTTTCTCCCTTCGCTGCTGATAGGCAGTTTTCCCGCTTCCTGGCTGGCCTCTCTTGCCTCCCTTGGCCGGGGAAATACCAGTTACTGTGAGCATCACCCTGGGATGGTAAGACACCCCTCAGAGAGTCCTCTTGCTGCTGCCAACCAAATCAGTATTAGCTTTGAGCATTACACTCTGCTTCTCCTTCCCTGGAAGAACCCAAGGACTAGCACGAGGTGCTGTTTGGAGCGAGGTGGGAGGAAGCCCCTATCCTGGGCTCCAGCTAGATAGGGGCAGCCTGGGGTTATAGAAAAACAGCTGGTTTCCCCACCCTCTTTCCCAGGGAGAACTCCATGATTTCCTAAAGCCAGCAAATGGAGATAGCAGAGTCTGGCCCTTCTCCCTCCCCAATTCTTCCTCCCCATTCCTGAAGAAATTGAGCACTTATAAGACCTCCCTTTGGAGGGGCCCCACCTGAAGTGTCAGGCTGGGGGCAGTTTGGTACGGATCATATTTATTGCCTCCGTGCGTGTGTCTGTGTGAGGACTAGTGTGCATGGACACGTCTGGAGCAGGCGTGTGGGGCTCTTTCAGGGACCACAGAGGGGGGAAAGAGTTCACAGTGCCCAGGCACCCTAAAATCCCCAGTAATGGTGCCTCAGTGGGCCCAGGAGTTCCAGTGGGAGAGTAGGGTCCCCTCCTGTCTCCCTCCTTTCCCTCACTTCCGTGTGGACAATAAATCAATATGCACAGGTTTTGGATGAGTACTTGGGCCCACGTGGACCAGACGTGGTTTATTCAGTGTATAAGAGAGGAGAGAGGAAAAAGAGTGCACAGTTGGGCCCACAGAGAAAAAGGCCCAAGAGCCCTCCAGTGCTGCCAGGGAGCTTCTTTAAGCTCTGACTCCTCCAGCCCCTCCCTGTCCTCAGAGAGGGCTGTAGCATCCCTGGGCCTCATGGGATAGGCCTAGGGCAAGCAAGGATGAGACTCCAAACCAGCTGGGCACAGTTCAAGGGTGGGAGGGAGCCAAGGGGACTGACGCATGAGGCCCTACACAGCAATGGAGCCGTCTCGGAAGTCCGTCCTCCCGATGAGGATATTGAGCACGACTGGGTGGCCGTCTCGGCACTGCCGCTGGGCATCACGCAGCACCTTAACCACCTGATCCTCATTCTCCCGTGAGAGCAGCAAGCCCTGGGCCCCCAGTCCCATTGCTGCCTTGTGATAATCTAAAAGGGGAGGTCAGGTCAGATGGTGGCAGGGACATGGCCCACCATGCAGCCAGCCCAGAAGAGAAACACACTCCTAGCAGGGACTGAAACAGCTTCCCCACTCCCCATGCTGCCCAGGCCCCTCACCAGTGTAAGCCAGGCCGCAGGCCACATTGCTGCCCAGAGAGGGCACCTGCTCCCGAGAAATCTGGGTCCAGCCAGCATCATTCCCTATCAAGGCCATCACTGGGATCTGCAGGGAGAGCACAAGCCACGGCCTTCAGTCCCAAGGCTTGGCCAGACAGAGGACAAAGGTAGGGACAGCACCTCTGCGAGACATAAGCAGCTCCCTCCCAGCCCACCCCACCCCTGATGACATCTCCCAGAACCACAGGCTCTGAGCTTCCCTTGGGGCAGCCCGGTTACCTTGTGTCTGACGAAGGTGTCAAATTCAATGAGGCTGTAGCCAAACGCTCCATCCCCAAACAGGCACCAGACCTAAGGGGGGACCAAGGATGGTTGGGGTGGCTCAGGGCCCAGAAAGCAGCAGCCTCCTGCCTTCAGTACCCTGACTCACCTCGGCATCCGGCCGGCACAGTTTGGCCCCAAGTGCAAATCCTGCGCCAACCCCGAGAGTCCCAAAGGCCCCTAGAAGAACCAAGGGCAGGTAGGTGTGAAGAGGCCGGGACAGCGCAGGCTGCCCCAGGCACAGGCCCTTCCTTACCAGGATCAAGCCAGCACAGGGGGCCACGGGGCTGCACCAGGTGGGCGGCAGTGCCCACGAAGTCCCCACCGTCAACCACCAGAATCGAGTTGTCAGGCAGAGTTTCCTCCACCAGCTGCAGCACCCGCACCGGGTTCAGGTGCTGGGCCACAGGCCTCGACGCCTTCTCCCTGCAACAGAGCAGCACAGGTCAGCGGGGCCAGCAGCAGAGCCTGCCAGGAACCCACGAGCCCCCACGTCCACTCCACCCGGCCCCCACCGAAAGGCCTGTTCCTTTTGCCAGTCAGCTCGCCGAAGCTCCTCTGCCCAGTCGGAGGCCCACGTCTGGCCCCCAAGGCCTTCCACCAGCTTCACCACAAAGGAGCCTACGTCTCCTGGAGAAAGAGGAGGGCACAGCTGCGGGGAGGTGGCCTCCTGCCCTCCAGCACACAGGCCCAAGGACAGCATGAAGCAAACAGCAGCATTCGAGTGGGAGGCAAGGAGGCAGGCCAGGGTGCTCCTAGGGCAAAAGGGGTCAAACCCCAGAGCCAACCGGAACCAGGGGTGAGGGGAAGGGCAAAGCCAGAGAAACAAGGTTTAGAGAGCACAAAGCAAGTTAGAAACCCAAGCCAGCCTCATCGCCTGCCTCCCTGTCACACCCCAGATCACGCAGTCCTGTCAATTCTACCTCTGAAACATGTCATTAAAAACACCTGCATCTGCCAAGCACATCTCTACAACCGAGACACACAGAGGCTGCTGGTGAGTGTGAGTGAACAAGTAACTGAGCCCCTGACATACTTCTCGTCATCCCCACTGAGCAATGACCACACGGAGGCTCGGAGGAGTAGTTTCTCGTCCCCATCCTTCCTGCTCCAGGCCTTGTCGTTCCTGTCCTGGCCTGTTTAACAGCCCCCTTGCCTCCGCCTGGCCCCTACAACTCGCTGCCCACCAGGTGCTACAACTGCAGCGGGGCCACTTCTCTGCTTGACACGAGCATCCCGTCACCTACACTGCAGCATGGAGTCAGTGTCCTTGGAGTGAGGGGCAAAGCACGGCACGGAAAGGCCATCGCAGGGGACTGAACAGGGTGGAGGAGCCATGACAAGACAAGAGAGAGGCCTCAGGGGCCAAGAAGGGTCCTGACGGCAGTGGGCAGCATGGGAGGGTGTGTAGCCAGGGGACGCTCCCAGGCCTTCCGTCTGGTGCACACCCTGTTTGTTCATCCATGTCTCTGGCTGACTGGGTGCCCCCAGGGCAGGGTCTGGGCCTTTATCACCAGACCCAGCTCAAGGCAACTGCAGCACAGGCCAAGAAGAGAGAGACCAGGAAGAGCTCAGATGTGTGGGGGCAGCTCGGGGCTCACCCTGCACAGCCTCCTGGGGCTTCCAGAAGATGTCTGAGTTAATCAACATCTCTTTGCGGTTACGGTTGACAATAATGATCTTGCTGCTGTGGCTGAGGACACGGCCATAGGACAGGCGGAAATCACAGACGATTCCTGGGGTGGAGGACACGGTCTCTGTGGATGGAGGCCCAGTGTCCTGGGGAGCACCCACTACCTTACTTAATCCATCGTGGTAGACAATGCCAAGAGGTCCCTGTTCTTCACCTCTCCCTGTACTCGTGGCATCTGCAGTGACTTTGTAGCTCCCCACCCCATGAATCTGGACTGGCCTCAAGTGTGCTTTGGCCAACAGAATGTGACAGAGACCAGGCTTCAAGAAGCCTTGCAGCTCCCACTCTCTGTCTCTTAAATAACTGCACTCCCATGCCCTGCATGTTGCTCATCCTCCACCAAGTGAACAAGCCCAGGTCAGCCTGCTGGATGATGAGAAACATGGGGGAGGAAGCGGGTAGGAGAGAACTGAGTTATCCCAGCTGAGGCCATGCTAGCCCAGCCTATAGCCAACCAACACCTGAGTGTATGAGCCAGCCCAGCCTGGATCAGCATGGCTGCCTTCCAGCCCCACCAGCTGCAGACTCAGGAGTGAGCCCAGCGAAAACCAGAGCTACCACCTAACCTGTAGGTGGGTCTTGAGAAATAACAAGTGAAGTTTAAGCCATTGAGTTTGGGGATGGTTACTATACAGCAATAGCTAATGATTCAAAGCCCTTTATGTGAAACTCTAAGTGCTGTCTGTAGACACGCTGTATAAATGCTGTGTGTAAAGTACAGCAGGTGCCTGCTGTCTGCATCCTCCTCTGTGCAGAGCTAGGTCACAGCACATAACTGCAACCTGGCGAGCGTTCATCTGAACTTTGGTGCAGGGATGTTCAAAACCCTTGATAAGGGAATGGGTGGGGCCAGACATAAGACGGTGGGCGATTTATGAGGGTGGGGTGCCAGCAAGTAACTGACTAGAGAGGCAGGGTCAGGGGGTAAGGGAGGTGCCTGGAGGGAGGAAGAGGATGGGCGGGGAGGCTGAGGCCCACCTGCCAGCAGGACGACGTCTGCCTTCTGCAGGGCGGCACTGCGGTTCTGCCGGATGTGGAGGGGGTGGTTGCGGCCCAGGAGCCCCCGTGCCATTCCCCCCAGGAAGCAGGGGACACCCAGAGTCTCCACAGCAGTCCTGAGATCCAGGCAGAACAGAGGTGAGTGTGGCCGAGGGCCTGCCATCCCCACAGGGCCTAGAGGACCAGGGACTAGGGATGCAGGGGGTGCTTCTCACCGAAGCTTGTCAGCAGGTATTGGGGGCAGCAGGGCCTGGCTCCCCAGCACAATAAGGGGCCTTTTGGCCCGGCTCAAGATCTCCACACAGCGCTGAACCTGGGGCGAGAGGTGGGGCTCAAAGGGCCAACCCTGAGTCACCAACAGCCCCCAAGAGTACAGCCCCAACACTGACTCAGGGAGAGGCCATCCTGCCAGGTGGGAGTCCTTGGCCAGGGAGGAGAGGCAATCACCTGCTGGGGGGATGCCCAGGGGATATCCACAGGCAGGGGCCCCTCGGGCTGTGGCTCCCAGGCTCCTGCAAAGAGGTTGGCCAAGTGATTCTCTAAATACCTGCAAAGGAGAGAGGAAAGGGCAGTTAGCAGGAGCAGGTACCGGGGTTCTAGGAGCTGAAGGAGGACAGGGACCGGAAAAGGGGCTGGGAGTGAAGCTGGGCAAGCACAGGGATGGATTAGCAACCACCCAGGGACAGGCAAAACCCCGTGGCCAAGTCTCCAGCGGCCTGCTTCCCCTCAAAAGCTTCTGGTGACCACCCCAACTTGACACAGACCCTCAGAAACAAGTGACACAGGCATGGAGTGCCAGGATCAGGGCCATGGCTGCAGGTCAGAGAGACATGGGCTCGAGTCCTGGCTCCGCCTCTTCCTGTGTGACTTTGGGTAAGTGACTTAACCTTTCTGAGCTTCCTCCTCTGTAAAATGTAAAAGGGAACCTCCCTCCTAAGGTTCAGTGATGTGTACATTCAGGATATAAAGCATTTTGCAAACCATTCGATCAATGGGAGTTATTAACATCACCAGTATTCTTGCCTCTTCTTCAGCTTCCAACATCTCCTTCTCTGTCTCCTTACTCATTGGGTCACAGGGCCCAGCTTTCCTTAAGGCCCTGTGCAGGGCCCTGGAGACACAAAGATAAATCCTGCCCTCAAGGAACACCTAACCCAGAAAAAACAGACACAAGGGCATTGGCAGGAAGGAGTAGGAGCCAGAAGCTTCTGTTTCTCTTTTAAAGAGGAGTCAAGACTCCAAACAGTAGGAGGCCAAGGATGGAACCTGGGGAGCCCTAACGTGGAAAGAAACAAAAGTCCCCTTGCAGGGGGCTGAGCAGGGGCAGCCCAAGAGAGAGAGAATGGAGTAGAGCAGAACCAACAGGCCAGGGAGCAAGGAGGCTGTCACAGCCACAGAACAAAACCGCTTAAACATCCAGCCTACCTGACACGGTCACCAACCTCTTCCTGTATGTGCAGGAACCCTGAATCCCCCTCTTTATTCCTGGCTCCATACCCACGTTGGAGGAAGGATGGGAGACACCTTGCCTTACACCTGATATGACACTGGACTCAGCCCTATTCTTACTTAAGACAGTAATGGTTAATTCTTTTACACCTTAGCATTCTGCACTCTCCAAATGATCTCATTTTATTCTTCACTGAATCTTGGTCTAAAGAAAAAAGCAGGCAACGTTCGTCCATTTTACAGATGAAGAAGCTGAATTCAAGAAAGGTTTAATCACAATGTACATAAGTCAAATCATCATGCTGTACACCTTAAATTTAGACAGTGCTGTATGTCAATTACATCATAAAACTGGAGAGGAACAAAAAAACGGAAAGAAAGGTTTAATCATTTGCTCAAGGTTAACACAGCTAGTTAGCTGCAGTCCTAGGATCTGAACCCAACTCTCTGGACTTTCATTTCATTCACTATAGCTGGCACATAGCTCTGTGGGTAAAGCACTGAAGGCTCCTCCAGGCTGAACCCCAGTGTGCCATTAACAAGATGGACGCAGGTCATTTGGCCTCCTTGGGCCTCAGTTACCTAACCTATGACATGGGCATAATAATACCTTACTGTCTTAACTCCAAGAGTTGTTATAAAAGAAGTGTGAGTAAAACCTCCACTCCTTGAGCTTCTCACACGCCCAGGATGCAGGGACCTGTCTGTCTTATTCATGCCCATCCTGGTCCCTGGCACATAGCAGCACCGCTAAATATTTGGAGGGGGTGTGGAAGGTGGAGGGGCAAGGAGAGGCAAAGGGAAGGGACAGAGGGGAAAGAGGAGGAGATCAATTTCCTTCCTGTGCCCTGTTGCCGCCAGGCCCACCTCAGTGGTGACCAAGAACGGATCCCTTTCGCATACCTCCTCTTGAGCTAGGCCCCTGCCTGGAACCCTCTCTATCCTCTCAACTGAAAGGAGCCCCGGCAAACTTGTAGCTCTTCCAGGAAAACCGTGACACTTGTCCCAGGCCACCCTGCTACCCTGCTCTCTCCAAGATCCTGCCAGTAACCACTTGAAGTCCTATAGTGGCCCCAGAGTGAGCTGTGCCCATGTCACCGGCCTGCAGGGACCCATTGTCCCCTTATTCTGGCCTCAGAGAGGTGATATGTGATCCATCCACGTCTCTGCATCTCACAGCCACCACCCAGATGGAGGCCACCATCGCCTCTCCTCCTGGTGACCACCACACCTCCTCCCTGCTTCCCAGCTTCCACTCAACCCCACAATCCACTGTCCAGCAGCAGCCAGAGGGAACGTAATAAAAACTGGAGTCAGGGTATCCCACACCTCTGCTCAAGGCCCTGCAATGCTTCTCAATGGATCTCAAATTAAAAACAAAACCCCAGGTCCTCCCAGTGGCCCCTGCTGGCTGCTCTGAGCTCAGCCCCTGCCCCTCACCCCTCTGCTCACCTGCTGCTGCCACATGGGCCACCTTGTTTTCCCAACCCATCAAGTTTGTCCCTGCCTCAGGACCTCTGCATATGCTATGCCCTCTACTTGGAATGCTCTTTTCGTGGCTGGCTTCTGTCAAATGCCATGCAAATCAATGACCGAGTCACAGGAGGGACGGATGCTGGCAGAAGGCTGCAGGAGACGGCAGGGACGGGGGAGGGCAGGGCAGGAGTGGGGCTACTCACCAGGAGACCACTCGACCCATGAGGCCCTTGACTGGCCTGGCTGGCGCCAACTCCTTCTGCACAATGAAGTAGGGGTACAGCACGTCAACAGGCAGCTCCACAAACACTGGGCCTGCAGGGGCAGGGAGGACGCTGAGCCTGCCACGCCTCCCTAGACCCCAGGCCCTAAGGCCTGACCGCTGCCCAGCTACCCCCACCTACCCGGGGTGCCTGACTGGGCAGCAGCCATCGCAGCCCTCAGGGTGGGTACGATGTCCCGCACCCTCCGCACAGAAGCACAGAACTTGCATAATGGCTGGAACAGGGACATCTGATCAATGGCCTGGAGCGCACCCCGGTTCTGGCGGAGACAGGAGTCCAGGGAGTCAAGATGTGAGCCCTTTGAGCCTCCCTGGCCCCCGCCGCCCCTCAAGGACAGGGCACCTGCAGCAGGGTGCCAGCGGCCCCACCCAGAAGCAGGACTGGAGACTGAGCTATCTGGGCATTCTTCAGTGCAGTCACCGTGTTGGTGAGGCCAGGGCCTGCCGTCACTGCCGCCACGCCCACCGTCCCTGGAACAAAGACCCCGCCACAGCTGTGCCCAGTCTCTTGGCCACCTCCGAAAAATGCCTGCCCCTCGAAGATCTCCCCCCAAAAACACCTGCCCCACGAAGACCCCCCCCAGCCCTCTCCACTCTGCCCTCACCAGTCAGGCGGGCCACGGCATCAGCGGCAAAGACGGCCGTGACTTCGTGGCGCGTGTCCACCACACGGATGCCCAGCTTCTCACAGGCCACCAGCAGTGGGGAAATGTGCCCGCCAACCAGCGTGAAGAGGAACCGCACACCATGGGCCCTCAGCACCGCAGCCACATTCTCCCCGCCATGCTGGATGCTTGTCTTGTCCACCTGAGCCCGAGGAGGGGGAGGAGCAAGATGGTCAAGGACCAGGGCAAGGGCGCCAGGGCAGGTGGGGAGAGGGGCGATCCTCCTCCCCCAGGAAGGAGGACAGAAGCAGGGTCAGAGGTCAGGGGAACGTTGGTGTTGGTTAGGCACATGTTATGCTATCCACACGTCATCTTATCACATCCTCTTGTCATTACATCCTTTTGCAGCTAAAGAGAGCAAGACTTGCCCAAGCAAGATTCAAAGTCCCAGAGAACCAACACTCTTAACAGCCCCACTCTGTTCGACTGCCCGGCTCGGGGATGGTGGGGCAATCAAGGACAGAGGGGAGGGAAGGCGGATCTACAGAACCCAGGAGAGTTGGGCCAAGGGCATGAGCAGGAGCCACCTGCTGTGACTCCAGAACTACCGCCCCTCCAGTATCTGGCTGGCAGCGTGACTGCTGACTCCAGCCTACCAGACTCCCTCCCACTCCCTGGGCAAGGTCCAGCTGACAGGCTGCCAGCCACCAAATGCCTAGCACGGGAGGGGCCTGCTGGCACAGCCCCACACACCAGAGGCCTTTGCCTTAAATCTCCCTCAGTTCTCAAGGCTAGTGGTCTTACCTCTGGTTAGGAGAGGAAGGGCTGAGGAGGAGTCAAGGTTGCTCAGGCTAGGAGATGAAAGAGTAGGGAGAGGGTCTGGGGAAGGGGTAAATTTCTGAGAGAGGAGTAAGTAGTTCAGAGCCAGGCCTGTGGGGTCACCTAGGGCAAGCTACCCACAACCCCTCTGAGCCTCAGTGTCCTGCCGTGGAAAATGAAACAACAGCACGTAAGCCAGGGGCGTTTTGAAGGATACACGAGCATCGTCACTGCGCGGCACCCCCTCCAGCGCCTGCCTTTCACGCACTCTGACCCACCGGGTCTAGGGTGCCTCTGTAAAAAGGGGCCCCTGGGGAAGCAGGTGGGCGCAGCCGTTAGTACCCAGGCAGCCGCGACTTCCGGATTATCTCATACTAGCGGCAAAGTCTAGGGCCCCGTTGCAATGGGGACAGGACCCTGGACAGAATGTCCCGAACAGCCCCTCTGGATTAGTCACACTTTCCCCGCCTGCAAAACGGGTGAGCTGGAAAGAGCGCCCGGAGCCCGCTCCTCCTCTGGCCGCCCCCGGACGCCCCCGCACCTTGTGCATCAGCTGAAAGAGGAGCCCCAGGTGGTGCGCGGCGCCCAGCGCGGCAGCCGCCAGCGCCACGAAGGCCAGGAGCAGGAAGGAGGGGAAGATGCCCCCGGGAGGGGCGGCGGCAGCGGCAGTCTCCATGAGGTGGCACCTAAAAGGAAAAGGGCAGTGCCAGGATCTGGGCGCCAAAGAAGCCAGACCCCTGACCCCAGCGAGCGCCCGAGCCGCAGCCCGAGCCTGATCCTCCGACCCAGGCCGCGAGTCGAGGTCAGATCGCATCAAGATGCTTCTCCGATCCCCAAGACCTCTTCAACTTTCACCTACGGGAAAAGGCGCTGACTCCAGAGGAATCACGCGCCCTTCGTGTCACGTGACCCGGGCACGCAGCCGGAAGGCGCGGAGCCCAGAGCCCGGAGCCCGGAGCCCGCCGCCCTGCCCTTTCGCCTACGAGGATCAGCAGCACCCGGCGGGCCGGCCCGAGGCGCGTGCGCACAGCGCAGCCTCTAAGAGCCGGCTCTCTACTGGCCGCCTCGCGCACAGGCCCCGCCTCCTCCCGCCTTTCATTGGCTCGCACTGCAGGCCTCCCCGCCGCTTCCCCAACAGGCCTCGCCCCTCAGCGTCTCCCTTCGGCCGGGGATCTGGTAGACCCGCCTTCCGCGGCCTTTTGCTGGCGCCACACTGCTGGCCCGTAGGTTCCCGGCCTTCCGAGCACAGCCTGCTTTCCACACCAGCCGTGCCGCATGCTCCTTCAAGTTGGCCGAGAGTGGGCAGTCACGGACCCGCTCTCCGGAGTCCACCAGCCTGTCACTTTAACGTTGGCTCCCATCTTTTGTCAGCTTCTGGGATTTATCTGTGAGGATTCCGCTCCATCATTAATTTCATTTTCTATTGAATCATTCCTAGGTTTTAATTTCACCCATTTAAAAAAAAAATCTCAACTTGTCTCCGTCCCTTTGCTCCTCTTTTTGGCAAATTCGTCCAGTGAGTTATCTATCCTTGCCGTCCATGAGCCCCCCTCCTATTCCCTCTTGAACCTACTGCAAATAGGCTCTTCCCCGCCACTTGATGAGATCTGTTCTGGATTATTCCAACAGTCTCCAAACCGGTCCCTCTCCCTGTACTAGCTCAACCTCACTCTCCCTGCGTATAATTAAGAGGATAAAATGCAAACTTCCTAGAAGGGCTTTCTAGGCCCGGTTAAACTCCCAGAGCCAATAATGAAATAGTCATCATTACTTTGTCAAGCACTTACTGTGTGCAAGGGGCTGTTCCAAGCACTTTTGACATATTAATTCATTTAATCCTCACAACAGCCCTGTAAGGGTGGTGTATTATCATAATCCCGTTTTACAGATGAGGAAACTGAAGCACAGAGAGGTTAAGGAACTTGCCCAGAATCACACAGCTTGTAAGTGATAGAGGCAGAATGTGAACTCATGCAATCAATGCTGCCTGAGCTCCCAGACTGGGAGCACCTCAAGAATGGGTACTGTGTTTCAACCACGTGGCTTCCTCATGCCTATCACAGGGTGTAGCATTGGGGCCCACCCAGATCTCCCCTTGCGCTTACGTAGGATTTTATTCTAAGTGAGTTGGGAAGCTAGAGTGGATTTTGGACAACCTAAGTCACACAAAACCTGCACACGATTGTTCCTAGGGGCTTTATTTGTAACAGCCAAAAACTGGAAAAACCAAAATGTTTCTCAGCAGGTCAATGGTTAAACAAACTGTGGTCCATCCACACCATGGAAGACCACTCAGCAATAAAAAGGACAAACTATTGAAACGTGCAACAACTTGGACGAATCTCAAAATAATTATGCTCAGAGAACAGATTGGGGTGGGGCTGGGTGAAGGTGGTCAAAGGTACCTTTTGGTACAAAACAAAAGGTACGAACTCCCAGTTATAAGTTCTGGGGATCTAATGTACAGCATGGAGACTATAGTTAACAACACTGTATTGTATATTTGAAAGTTGCTAAGAGAGTAGATCTTAAACCTTCTCTTCACAAGAAAAAAATTGTAACTATGTGATAGTGATAGATGTTAACTAAACTTATTGTGATATAATCATTTTGCAATATATATGCATATTGAATCATGTTGTACGCCTTAAACCTATACAGTGTTATATGTCAATTATATCTCAATAAAACCGGAAAAAAAGTACTGTCTATCCACAAGTTAAAAAAAACAATTATGCTGAGTGAAAGAATTCAGTCTCAAAAGGTTACATACTATATGACTCCATTGATGTGATATTTTCCAAGTGAGAAAACCATAGTGAGGGAGGACAGATCAGTGGTTGTTGAGGGTTAGGGCAGGATGTGACCATAAAAGGGGGTACACAAGGGAAGTTTTTGGGTGATGGAGCCATTCTATATTCATATAATGGTGGTGGTGGCATGTGTTATCATTGAACTGTACACCGAAAATAATCCGTTTTGCTGTATAATACTTGAAAAATAAAATTATACAGATATTATACACACACAGTATGTAAATAAATGTATTTTTTTAATATACACTAGCACCAAACTGAAATTTTTCCTTGAAGTAATCAGCACCCTTGAAAGAGAATTGGGAAACGGAATAAAGTTCTGCCTGTGTAATTCAGATTTATTTAATGCCACATGCAGAAAATGCTACTCTTAAGTGCTTCACATTTTAGGGAAACAGTAAACTTACCAGACCTTCATATCCTCATCAATCCTCATATTTGTGAGTTTCAGGGAAAGCATAGTGTTCAAAAATGTCACAGAGGGTAGAGATCATCAGTGCCAATTCCTCCGTTTAATGCCTCTGCGACATGGAGAAGGGAAGGGACCTCCCCACTCTCAGTGAAGGGCTCAGAGCTACACTGCATCCAGATCTCCAGACTCTGGCTCAGTAGGCATGAGGTGACCTATATTTCTGAGTGCTCACACAGCCTTTGGGATGGAGCCCCAGGCACCCAGGGCTCCTTCTAAACTGTGATGCAAGCCCCTACTCCTTGCTTCCATCTCCTTGAGCCAAAGGCAGCACCGCCCAGGCCTCCAACTATCCTCAGGAGATGCAAAGCATACCTTGCCCCACACCTGCATGAGGTAATGCCTAACAAGCAGGGGTGGAACCCACGTTTGCATCCACCCAAGCAGAGAAATGAAAGCCAATCAGTCCTCACAACTGGAAAAAATTAGAAGTCCACAGAAAGCACAAAAACGTTACTAAAGGAGTTGTTAGTAATTTATAAATCACCTAATTCCCCGAACTTAAAAGAAAAATGGAAGCAGCCAACAAAAATTTTAATGTGTTTAATATAACCCTTAAAATTGAAATTGAAATCAAACATCCTAGGGTCAGCTTTATTTGTAACAGTCAAAAACTGGAAAAAACAAAATGCCTCTCAATAAGCAAATGGTTAAACAGTCTGTGGTACATCCGTAGTATGGAATACTCTCACCAATGTAGCAGGTATTTATTATATAGAGAGTATATATAAATAATATATAATAATATCAAAATATATATTTATGTATTGTTTATTATAATTTATTATATTTTATATATTTATTAAATAATACATATTTATTATACATATATTTATTATACAATATATATTAATAATATACAATGTTATATTATATATCAATAATAATATAATAATATTATATCTTATATTATATATTATAAAATGGAAGGCAATTATTATTGGCACAAAGAAATGTGTTCTTGCAGCCGGCCCTGTGGTGTAGTGGTTGGGTTTGCACTCTCCACTTAGCGGCCCAGGGCTCACGGGATCGGATCCCAGGCGTGGACTCATGCACTGCTCATCAAGCTGTGCTGTGGTGGCATCCCACATATAGAGTAGAGGAAGATGGGCCCGGATGTTAGCCCAGTGCTGATCTTCCTCAGAAAAGGAGAAGGATTGGCAACAGATGTTAGCTCAGGGCTAATTTTCCTCACCAAAAAAAAGAAATGTGTTCTTGAAAATGCACCTCACCCAAAACGTGTATCTCTTTAGTCATGTCCAATGGCTGAAGGGAATAATGGAAAATTCCATTCCCAGAAAGAAAGTTTTATATTAAATAATCATGAATACACAGAATCTGGAAATTGGTTCAAACTTTATTTTTCTCTTGAGCCTCCCATCAGTTCACCTGGGATGGAAATTTGGGATTTCTTCGCTCTAATCTCCCTTCCTCTTCTCATCCCATTTTCCCTTGGATTATTTTAAATCTCTTGGTTCTGCGCACAGGGCCCTGGCTCCCAGTGAACTGGTTAAGATTGTTAAGAGCACAGACCACTTGAGATTGAATCCCAGTTTAGCTTTTCAGTAGCTGTGTGATATTGGGCAAGTTTCTTAAACTCTCTGAGCCTCAATTTTTCTCATCAATAAAATGGAAATAATAACCTTGCTTCACGGGATGCTTCAAGTAATGTGTTCTCCCTGTCTACCAGAATTCATTGTCCACTTTACAAATGGAGATCCCAGGATGTGGCCTGACACGTGGTAGTCCACCCGGAATCCATGTGTCCAGGCGCCCTTGCTGCCAGTGCAGCGTGAGTCATAGTTGTGGCCAATAGGACATGGATGGGTGTGCTGACCATGACACCCGGTGTCCCCTTAAAAGGAAGGGGTGTGTGCTCCTTTGAGCCTTACACCCTTTCCTGTAGCCCAGGATGTAGATGCAATGGTTGGAACTAAAGAAGTTACTTGGGACCCAGAGATGGAAGCCATGATTTAAGGAGAGCAGAACTACTTTACCAGCCCTGAACCACTCACCAGCTCTAGACTGTTACACAAGCAAGACATAACTTCTATCCAGTTTTAGCTACTGTCTTTTGGGGTCTCTTTGCTACAGCAATTCATACCCTACAAGAACTATTATAAAAGTTAATACCATAATAATGAGGGGGAAGTGATGTCAGCATCATGGCAGAGTGAGTTGTTCACTTGTCTCTCCTCTAAGTTACAACTAAATGGACATCCATTAACCAGCAGAGGATTCCTTGCACAGCACAGCAGGACGTCTGAGAGATCCATGCAGCCATGCATCTGAAGGTGCGGGGACTGGACTCTCAGGAGGCAGTGGAACTAGGTGAGCACACCTTTCCCCCTCCCAGGCAGCAGTGAGCCAGGTTGCAGATCCTCACACAGCAGCCAGCATGACTGTAAGAGGAGGTGGGGGCAGCCAGGCATGAGCAAACATTTTTGGAGGTGTGGACTGGCCGTGGGAGCATCCACTGTGCCGCTGCAGCCCTGCCATGGGAATGCTCCACTCTGAGTGGCAGCACCTCTGCCTCTGTGAAGGCGCCTGCCCACAGAGCACAGCAGCCCGTGGGACCCACTGAGTGGCAACTCAGCACCCATGTAGGCACCCCTGCCAACTAGTGCAGCAGCTCACCCGGTCCCCTGCCAGGCACGGGGAGGGGGGCACCCACCTGAGTGCCACCTGCAGAGCGGCTGCCGCCAGCTCAAACAAACACAGAGCAGCCCTACCTGCACAACTTCCAGCAGAAAACACAGCTCCTTTCCCTCCCTCCACCCAGCAGTGGGAGGTGGAATCTGTGACCTGATGCTACCACAAATGTGCTGATAAAGGATCACTTCATCAAACACCGTGAAGAACTACAGTAACGCGTCAGGGTAGAAGGAAAATGATGAGTCTCCAGAAACCAATCCTGAAGTCACAGAAATTCACAATCTAAATGACAGAGAACTCAAAACAGCTGTCATAAAGAAACTCAATGAGTTACAAGAAAGCTCAGAAAGACAGTTCAATGAGCTCAGGAATAAAATTT